ATTATTTATAACGATTTATATTTTATTATTTTTTTTTATTTTTATTGCATATTTTTGTTGTTATGCCATGATAATTATCAGCTGTGACTACTGGCTATTGACATTCATTAACAATAATGTTAAGTATTTTTACGTGAAACTAATACAATTTCATCATACAGGTAGTATTATGTTTATGGCAATGGCTTATGTTCAATGTTGTGTCATTTGGTACTAGGTATTAGCTTACAGTAGGGAATCTGACAATATATCTGATTACATAATTTATATAAGTAGATAATATTATACTACTATACTTTATAGTTTATAATATACACAGAATATTCGTGCTGAAGTTCATGATATTGCCCAGAATTTAGATACAATTCTAACGACTTTCGAATTTAATAAGATAACACACCCACAACCCACTTGTGTGACCCACCCAAACCAGTAGTTACCCCCATCTGCCCCATCAGAGAATAAACAATTTATACCCCAATGTATAAATTGTTTATTTTCTTACTTTCTAGTTTTTTCTCTAAAACTATTGTTTCTCAAATTAAATATACAAATATAAAACATCAATTTTATCTTAGTATTAATAATATCATGATTGCGTTTGATTTGTTATCTTTTTCTGAATGCCATAAGCAGCTTGTCATTTTAAACAAGCATTGTTCCAAAACTACATTGACCTATGCTCTATTATCAAATGTAAGTATGATATTATTAATCGTTACACGTCTTAGATTTTATTTCAGTAGTTAACTAAACGTAATATCAAAGTATTTTAAAAAAAATCAATTTGGGCAATACTTAAATCTCATTTTGCTATTAATATATTGGACATTTATTATGGCATTTCACATGATATAATAATTAATTTTGAAAATTGGATAAGTAATAGCTATTATTATTTATTTTATTTGAAACCTGCCGTTTTGTTACTACAAATATTGCATTAATTGTTGATGTTACTCTCATACAGCAGATACTGTGAATAAAATAGTGAGTTGCTTCCTATAAAAAATATACCAACAATAAATATTTTCAACTTTACTTTTAACTGTAGGTAGTTTACCAATGTTATTATCTAAATTGTGTGGAAATACGTTAGTAGATTTCATAAAAAAAAAACCTGTGACACATAGTATTAACTCGGATAGTGGTTAAATTAAAAATAATTTTATACATCAATACATGAAAAATATATTTGATTATTTACTATTTTAACTGTTTTTTTAAATTGGTTAGATCGTGGACGATGGATCTTCTATATTTTTATATGCAATTATGCGTGTAATTATGTATTCATATTATCGGCTATCGGCACATTACATCTTGAATCAGATTTAATTTTAGATTCTGAAAAAATTCTTCGATTTTCAACTTTGGGGGTGGTTTTTGCTACCTATCAAATTGGATCTAGTTGGTACTTTTTAGAGGTAAAAATTAATAATTCCCAATACGTTGCTTAATGATTGAGAAAAACAAAAAAAAATTGCTTTTGTTGTAATTTAAAAATTAACAGCAGTAGATATATGCAATTTTCAGCAAATTATCATTTTTATCGTCATTTCGTGTAATTACAAAATTTTCAAAACATTCTGACTGAGCTATACCTAGGTTTGATGAACTTAATTATTTGTGTTTTTCTTTAATTGTTGATAAAACATTTTTTTGCTATCTAAAAAGCTTAAAATTGTGATACTTACGAAGTTCCTCATAAGTAGTGCATACTGGAACCAAAAATATTAAATCATCCTATCCTTAATACTAATTGTAAAATAAATTACTAATGATAATATAATATAATATAAAATATCATAGGCTAACTACCTATATGATAAAATATACTTGGTAATATTGGCAGACGGACGGGGACATTTGTCTCCACTCATAATTAATTTTTTGTGTTCAATGAATAACAACTGTCAACTGAAGGTATCCAATATTCATGTTCATTATACATATTATTATATTTATATCATAAAACAAGTCTATTTCACTCAAACAAAATGTGTGTGAATCATACATATTCATATCATTATATATCAACATTTATTTAAAAGTTCCCCGTTTTGTTTTAAACTATTACAGCGGGCGTCAGTTTCACTTAGAATATTCCCATCGTATATTGACCGCGAAATCTTGAGAAATCCCCTATTGTAATTACAGGCAACGGCAACCCAAGTTAATGATCCTCCTGCGCAACATTTTCTAATTTGAATAAAACGATTTTAACTTTCTGTGCGGACCACCGACCATCGTCGCGCTACATTAATTGTGTACCATACGTCCATACTACCATATTATTTATATATATTCAGTATTCATTGTTTAACAATAAAAATACAAATAGATAAATATAATTTTTTCGTTGACGTGTAGTTTGTCAATAGTATGTAAGTATGATAATAATAATATTATAAATACATTAAAACGCCAGATTTAGAAACAAAATGTCTCGGTCAGCATTTGGAAAAGCATTAACTTACAGTCAAGGGGCCGCTACCTTCGTTTATTTATTATTATGACTATTGAACCGGTCTTTTTTTTATTTCATTTTATTATTATTACTATTATCGTACTAATATTTTGTTCGGGCATCTCGCATTCTCACACACATGTCTGACGTCGCATCGTCCGGCCACCGGCCGATCTCGGCGGCGCTATCGGTTTCGCGTCGTGATTCATCTATTTTAAATCCGTCTGCAGTCTGCACGTCGTCACGACCCCGAGAGAGAGAGAGAGATATAATCCATTAACGCGCGCGCAGGACCACCGTATATGTCGAGTATAATATTATAATATATACCTACGATGAGGTAGAACTAATGTACGATCATTATTATAGAGCTCCGGAGACGACGCGTCCTCCGCACTTGGCGCTTTTTGTCAGTCGTTACAGTTCTGTTTGGGAAACGGTTAAGACTGACCGTTTAAGCAATAATAATAATAATCGTAATATGCGTATTTTGGCGGCTCGTGGCCAAGACCCAGTTCTCATACGGTCGTTTTTTTTATTCTATCATTTCTCTCGTCTCTTTTTTTTTTTTTTTTTTAATGACAACACATTTCAGATCCGTTATAAACTATAATATTATAAACCCGTCGTCGTTGGCGACTGCAGTGGAACAATGACCGCTCCACTAGATAATAATAATAATAATAATACACGGTTTGCAAATCAAAACAATGGACTATGTATATTATACAGGAGAACTGCGCGTGTCGCCGCGTAAATTTTTTTATTCCGTCTGTGTTCGCGGGAAACCAGTTACATATTATATCAGGTTTATATCTATCATCGCTCTCGGTTTCGTTCTGCAGTCTTTTCCGTGCGTTTTGTAGGTAAGGCATAATTTTCCTTTTTTTTTCCAATAACCTGATGACTGATGAGGTCAGTTGGCTTTTCAAGTTTACCTATCATCGGTTTTTAGTTTTAACGCCTACAATTGTGATAATGTAATTTAGTGCCTACGCTCGCATTTGACCAAACATCTATGGTCGCGTCTCACCTATTCGTATAATGTTATATTATAATATTATCGAGGTTAAACGTACTTGACTCCGAGACATTAATTAATTAAGACGGAATTTTCGTTCGCACGACATTGACTTATGGAAACAATTAACTATTTAATATTTTAATTAGTTTACAAATGTAAATAAAGTATAAACCACAATTAATATTGTTGTTGTGAATAACAAAATATGTATGTATTCCGATTTCTCCTGTGAAAAAAAACTAGGTTCTTCATGGATATAAATCCGTTGAATATCCGCACAAACGTGTACGTGTAGTCATAATTTCTTGGCATTTAATCAACAATCAGCTCTTGTGGTTAAAGTGTTAAACATTATAATTCATAAATATATAAGCGAGCAACTATTTTTACCGTGTTGTATGTTTCTAATAAAGTACACTACAATTCAAATTGGTAATATAATATAATATAATAGTAAATCGACTATTCTAAGTTTTAACTCGAATGGCGGGTGAGGGGACAATGGGTTTGGACAGACGATTTTCAAGGGCTGATAAATTTGTATACATTTGCTAGGTAACAACTAAAAACATGCATCTGTAACGGACAATGGAAATTTGTGTTAAAATCTATGGATTGTCTTTATTTATTTCAAATACATTATAGGTGGCAGAGGCTGTTTGAATGTAGTATACTTGTAGTTACTGTTTATAGTGATCTTGTAAAGACAAAGTATTTAAATATTCAGTACCTTTTGAGCAATCTATTTCTTGCTGAGAGTTCTAAAAATTTGTTTATTAATGTTTGAAAACAATGCTATTTTATCTAATTCTATCTTGTTAATGGTTTTTAAATCTGTTTGTCTAAATACATGTTCATATCCAATATTCATTTGAAATAAGTATATATTATATTAAATATTTATTTAACAAAATACGTTTTCTATTATTTAAATTTGTATCGACTATTTTCCGATATTTATATTTGATAATTTATACGATGCCTATTATAATAGTAGGCAGTAATATTGAACAATTTCAAACATATTTCTTAAGCAATACAAAAATGTACTGACCACTATGTTTAATTGTTGTTGAGATCTTGAATAAGTTATTAATAATACATTTAGTCCTTCTATGTATATATTATAATACAAATAAACATAGGTACAATTTTACGTATTGATTTGTCTTGATTTTAAAGACATTTCAAACATTATTTATATAACAAAACTAATTACTAAATGTACCAACTTGATACATATAATTTGACCACAGATATAAATTACTATTAATGTCCTTGGCCTCGAACGTAACTTCTAAATTAAAAATAGTTAGCTAATTTCGCTTGTTAGATTCGAACAGTTACGTGTTAAACGAAATATTGTCTTATGAAGGTACATTCATACATTTTAAGTTCTTAAAGAATCGACTGTCGACCTAATCATACATAAAGACAAAAAAATATAGATCACATTTTCCAATCTACACTTCCATTAACTTTGGACCGAGTTGTGCAACCATAATAATGATATTTCTGTCTGCTCATGTAACATTGCAAGGTCTCTCTTGTGGTTCAATTTCAACATTCTCGGACCAGTTGTTTTCCTGTTTCAATATTGACTTATCAATCAATCTAGGTAATAGTATGGGGTGCAAGATATTTTTGTAGGAACCGCTGTATTCAAAATAAAACACGTTGTACCTATATGATATTTATTTATATAGACATTGCATACATTTCGGTTTACAATAACTTTCCTTATTATTTGAACAACCATTTTATTCTGTATAGTGTATGCAAATACCATATTATATTATATATGTACACACACAGTTGTGTATGTAGTACGTTCCTATTTATTTATTTTATATTTTCTACTTGGATGAGCGTACTTAAAAGTTAAAATGGATAACAATAGATATAACTATTATAACGTGTAGACTGTAGACTAATAGACTATATTATCATAGATGTCATATTGTCATATCAGTGATGTTACATCATTTTTATATTTTGACAATAGTAACACTTTTGATTAGATGTTTGACTGTCTATTGTTTCGGTTCACCTATTGCATTCCAATGACGACCTTAGACGTACTTATTTGTTATATTGTACAGCATACAGGTGTGGCTCGAGGAAAATTAGTTTAAAGTTGTTCAGGCCAAGGAACCTCCCTAAAGTAATTCTTGTTTATTATAATACCTTTAAATAAATATATACATATAGTACGTCATGTAATATAATTAAAATAATTCTCTCATTAATGAGTTATTGACTTTTTGAGACCGTTCTTTCTATATTTACAACATTCATTAAGTATAATGTTTTAGGAAACTTGGCTCCAGGACAGTTGAAAAAAATGTTGAATAAGCAAAGAAAAGCACAACGAAAAGCCCAAGAAGAAAAAGCTCAAGCGTTAGCAGCTCAGGAAAAACGAGATATGCATAAAAACCGACAACAGGTAACTAATACCAGCGATGAAGCTGACGCATTGCCATTGGATGAACTACTTCCAGAAAAGTTGGAAAGAGTAAGTGTTGCCGAACTATTTCATTTTTTAAAATAAATTAAAATAAAATATGCTGATGTAGGTGGAAGATCCTTTGGAACAATCAATCAAGTTCTTGAAACCACTTCAAGAACTCGCATCAGATAATATTGAAACTCATTTAATGGCATTTGAAATTTATTACAGAAAAGGTATTTTATTGCACATTTTAAATATATTTGAAAATTAGTTTAATACTTATTGAAAATGTAATTTGTAGATAAGCTTTTGTTGATGTTGCAAAGTATCAAAAGAAGTCATCGTATTTCTCCAGATCATCCAATGTTTCACAGTTGCCTAATTAGATTTATGGAAAAACTATTGAAACTAGACAATATTCAAGAAGAAATGCAATTGGTGCTTAATAAACAACTAGAACCAATATTGGGTGGAATGTCGGCTGCTGATATCAATTCGCAGTTCCTCAATAAACACCAAAAATCATTGCCAGCTTTAGTTCAGGGTGAATAATTAAACAAAACATTTAGTTCTATCAGTTTAAGCAATTAAAATATTTAATTATTAAAACTTAGGTATTAAAATACTTGACTATTAACTTAATTTTAGGTTTGAAAATGAAGTATAAACTTGATAATAGTTTGCAACAAGAAGTTCTTGACCAAATTACTAAGCTAGACGATTCCCTGGAGGATGTCAATATTCAAGTAAAATTCAATAATTATATTTGTTTTTATTTTTTATTTTAATAACAATTTTAAATTAATAAATTGTTTCAGACTTGTACTGATATTTTAAATTCATTAATCAATGGTGAATTTGGAGAAGTTGGTGATGTTGCCGAAGAATATCGTAAAACGTGTTATAAACGTTTCCCATTGGCTACTGCTTTCCATACAGATCAAGATCGTTCCCCAATGGCATTCTGGTCCAATTCCTACAAAACGTTGAATGAAACACATGATAATTGTGTCAGTAACTAATTGTAGCCTGGACCGTTAGATCAAAAATGTATTTTTTAATTTTGTTGAAAAGTTTTTCTCTTATTTATAGTAATAGGTCTTTATTATAACTTTTTAATATAGGCTTATTATTTTCTGTAGGAAAAACAACATTTGTTTTTGCCTTGAGTATCCTGTAAATAGTTATAATATATTATAATTTCTTTTCTCAAATCTAACACTTCACTAATCGACATACAGATTACAGTTTTGACTGAATATTTATAATTTATGTTTATAGTTTAAATTGCTTAATGAAAAAAACACTATTTATTAACTCCAAACAACCCAAAATGTTTTCTGTGATACACCCCGAAATGTATGCTAATTATTGATTATTTAACTACTTTACAGGTTTGTAAAATATGAACTTATATAAGAAAAAAAAAATGTGGCTCATTTACTAACCAAAGGTTGATCTCCAATCATTTAAATTTAAAGAAACATATTTATTACTAACAGTAAGTATATTATTTTCTACTGTTAAATTGACATTAAGTAAATACTTAACAACCATATGGAGTATAAATAGTAATTAGATATTCTTTTTATAAAGTTAAAAAAAAATGTTCCGTCGGAAAAACATATGGTGGTAATTGAGCTTATTTTTTATTTTTTTAATGAAAAATATCAAACTTACGTTTCTTTTTGAATAATAATAAAAACAAAAACAAAACAAAAAAAGCATTTTTATTGATTATTTATTTGTGGTATTTTGGTGTGTTTTTTCATTCAACAAAAAATATTAAACAATAAAAATTATTCTATGTGTTATATTAACTTATCTGACTGAAATATAATAATAACTATGTGCTACGCATACCTAAATGGCATTGGCTGCACTGCCCAAATGGCCAAATATTTATCATACGTAATATTATAGTAAATTTTAAATTAATGTTACGCGCCAGTACACAGCCAGTGCAATGGTTCTTAGTATAATAATTTCCAACATGGAATGCGATTGTCCATTATGATTCATTCACAAGTAATACATATTATAATTTATTAATCTCATCAATAATAATTTGGGTCTTGTGTCCATAACAAGTAAACGAAACGAATTTATGATTTTTGGATTTTTGGTACGAGAGAAGAAATTAAAACATAAAATTACAATAACAACGTATGTCGTATATAGTATATGCCCTATATAGTATATACGCCACGAGTACATGACCACCATCAAGGACACAAGTTTTACTTGAAAAAAAATGTATTTATATATGTATATATATATATATTATTTAATATAATAGTATCCCGTTTAGTGGTTTATTCTATTCTGGTTTAATTTTCAAATTGACCGTGTCACGCAATTTAGTGGGTTTAACGTTTTACCATAATAATATATCTATAAAATTAATTGTACTTATTATGTCCCTTCTACGGACTGCGTGTCTGCGTGTTCATATCGCTCGAATTTCAAACGTTTAATGGTAATTCAAGAGAAAAAATGAAAGTCGGCCAATTCGTTATGATTGACCAACGTGTAATTTATTGAAATAAATTTATTTGATTGCTCCTTTGTAGCAAAAATAAACACGTTAATCGTATGGTCAATTAAATTGTACATACAGGTATAATAGTGGTATACCTATAACTAAACTGTAATAGTAAAACGATTAAGATACCTGTGTGTATACTACTATATACTGTATAATGTATTAGTGTATATTTTACCTGAAGCAAAATTTTATTGTCATGATGTATGATTTATTAATATGTCAAGTGTCGATTGTACTAGTGTAGGTAAGGAAATCAGAGGTGTTTTAAGCAGGGACGTAATTTAGGGTGATATACTAGTATGCATATGCCTAACCCTAAATTTAAAAGTAGTTTTGGGCCATCTGCTGGGCCCTAGAGCCATCACGGGCCATGATACAGGATACAGATCATTATGGAGAATGAAATTATCAGTAATCTACGATAAGACGATCGCAGAGATGTAATGATCCATATATAGATGTATACTGGATTGGACATTGGTAGTATCTTCTACTATTTATACATACTCTATACTCTGGTACGGGCCAGACCCACCCATGATTCATGAACTACTCAACTACCCTTGAACACACCTAATCACGAACTAAAATATAAGATATTATAGTCCGTGTACCAAATAGAAGTTCTATCAATCAGAAAAAGGTGGGTAAGTGGGTTACCGCTCAGCTGTTCAATAGGTGTCTAGACTCTAGAGGGATCGCTGTAACAGATGTGTTAGATTTAAATTCAATGATCTGAAATCATTGTATACGAAAAACGATTCTGAGCGGAGATTGTCCGTCAACCTATATAAAATATTACTAAGTAGCTATATTTTATGACATTATTGTTATTACTAATTAGAGTGATTTATTTTACAATATATTAGACATTAGTAATACAGTAGGTTCAATAAAAACATTTTCATTTGAAAATGTCATGGTGTGTGAACATATAATGATCAATATAAATATTGTTAATACTTTAAAAATTTCAAGTACCCATGAATAATATTTTTAAATTACATCAGAATAACTAAAATCAATATTCTTCGTTATTATTTTATCTTGGTGGTGGCCGGTGGGGGTAAATTGTGTCTAGACTTGTTGTGTCATCACCGCTACCGCTGCAGCGTGTACCAGGTACCCTGCTACCTAATCGACAATAATCTAAAAAAAAAAAATCGAAAATGTATTTTGCCTATAAATAGCACAAAAAAAATCAAAATATTTTGATTCCATAAATGGAAAATTATGAAATAAACATTAAAAGAAAATTTTAAATATCTACGGTTATTTGTTTTTCTATTACCTACAACATAATGAGAAACTCATTCTATTTGAATTCTTTAATTTACGGGTGAATATTCATTATATCAAATATCAACATTTAATACCCATGTGAAAACATATATCGTACACGCAACCTGTAATAATGCGTGTGTTAGATTTGAATTCTATGATAAATTTATAGGTACATAATATGAAACGATTCTGAGCAGAGACGGTGTCATCCTAGCATACATGTACAAATAATCCAATTAAATAATTAAAAACCTCTGGATATCAAATAACGTAAAAAAAACTTCAACGTAGGTTGTATATAGCCTTGTAAGTAGTAGGTATAGTAAGTTGTAAAAGTATGTTTTCCGTGATGGGAATGCGATAAACTCAAAATAAAAGAATACATTGATGGATGAAGCTATGGTGATACTTGTGTTAAAAATTAAAACTATTAAAATTAACAAATTCACCTGATATAAAAAAAAATCACATACAAATAAAATGTAATAGGTGGGGGTAGTTGGTAGATTAGAAAATCAGTTGTCAATTAAAAACTGAACGATAAGATGGAATGTTCATTATATAAGTTCATGCATTTTTTTTAATCCACGATTGTACGGAAAATTGTTTTTTATAGACTAATGTTCCGAATATATTATACTCACACAGTCACACCTGATTTTTTTTACACGGATTTAAATATGTTGGCACGTGACCTGAAAAATGTTTGCCATCTCTGCTTTATGCAATATGACATGTATTAAGCTTATCACTGACGATATTGTTCGTCAACACTCAACGGTGGTTTCACTATAACTGTCGTGAAAGGATTAAATTTGTCAAAAATTAATTTTGGGCAACGTCTTAAATATACATATTAATTAAGTAAATATGGGGCTTTTATTGTAAAAATGAAACGGCTTAAACTACGTAAAGGTAAAACAGACAGTTGGTATGTGAGCGAGCTCGGCTATAGCTAAAACTGGTCCGAAAGTCCACAACATTTATATGTATCGATTCATCCACGGTACAGGTAATAAAATAATTAAATATAACACAAAAAAAATCGTTTTTATAAATTCGCACTGCTTCATTTGACAGTGTCAACTTCCCAACCGCGAGCAGATTTTTCGGTGTCGCCCTTAGACTATTTAGGTACTCTCCCACAGTTCCACCAATTTCTAAAAAAAAACAAATAATAGAAATAATCACATGGTTATACATTCATATTATTTTTTTATGTTTGTTACAATATTGAGCATTGTTACATTTTATTAACATCTATCTAAGTAATCAAATTAAAATGTTGAGCCTTAGGAATATGCCCCCTACACATTACCTCTTTACACTTTACCGTTACATTTGATAATTTATAATAACTTTCTGCTGTATTTTCCGTTTTTGTCAGGGATTTGATATATAAAGTGGATCTTTTATTAGGTTTATGAACTTTATTAGTCATGAGAATATTATTTTTTTATACCTATGTTTTTTTATACCTTTATTAGTGTTTAATTAATGACTTACAAGTTACAACTAACAAGTATAATAATCATAATTCATGAAGATCTAGATAACTTATAATATAATATCAAAATTCAGAGTTATAATTTATATTTATTATTTGTACAATTGGAAAGTACTTACTATTGTATTTTGTTAATGATAATTCTCTCATTCTAGAAGTTCAATATTCTTGGAAATAAATCCATTTAATCGAGAAAAATTGGTCTTAAAAACTTTTGTATATAAATAAACTAATGAAAAACCAATAAAAGTCCTATGCTGTACGTATTAAAACGACATAAAATTATTGTTCGGAGCTCATTCTTTTTCATTTATTTTGTTATAATAATCATTACTATTACTACTAAGCTTGTTTTTTATTACCGTATATATATTATTTAGTACCGTTACCCCAGCACTCCCAAGTTTGAAACTGAATATCAAAATTCTCCAGTACTTATGTACTTTATTTTGTACAATTTTGTACAACCAAAATAAAATGTTGTACACCTCCCCCAACTCGAGAAAACGCGATTTCCTCATGTCCTTGCATTACTATCCAGCACTGCCAATAAGCAATATCATCAAATTGAAATTCTTAAACCTACCACCTACAACTGGGCAAAACATTTTAAGTATAAGTACATGGGTACTCACTGGCCACTGCCACACTGCGTGGGGGTAATGGGGGCTATTATTCACACCCGGGATTTTCTTAACTGTATGACTGTATACAGTATATTATGCACTACTCTTACGTAAATTCTTTAATAATATGCATAATACGTTAATAATATAGTTTATACAATTAAGAGACATTTCTAGAATGAAAAAGTGATTATTGTCCATCAGAATAAAAATACTTACCATAAATCAAAATAAGTTAAGTTAATAGTATAATTGTTACCTAGCTTAAATTTAAACTTAGTTGATGTATTAAAAATGTCTATTAACTTAATTTAAAAAAAGATACGTAACTTAACTGAGTTCAAAAATATCATTAAAATATTTCATTATCCTTGTATGTTGTGTAAGATACAAATGATAAAAGATATGCAAAAAAGAACAAATTAAAATAAACGTAAAATCGAG